GCCCCAGTGGCTACCCTCCTGCTAATTTCAGCGGGCAGCACCAAGGCCCCAATCTATGCCTGGTGCCCTCCCTCAGATCCTGCCCCCAGCCAGTGGCTGAGCACAAGACGAGGCTTAGAAAGCTGCTCTCCCCAGGCTCAGAGTCACCTGATGTTGAATTAAACCTGCCCTTGAACTAGAGAAAGAATTCCCCCCTCCCTCTCCCTCCCAAGTCTGGCAAGGCCCAGAGCTGCTCCAGAGATACAGGCCTCAAGGACAAGGCGCTCGGGGCCGTGCTGCCTGGGAGCGTTACCCATATAGCGATAAGCAAGTAGTTAAAACTCAGCACTCAGGCACTTTCCTGGGCTCCTCCGTCTCAGGGGCCAGAGGGCAGCCAGGGGCATAAGCACTGCTGCCCCTGGGGAAGGACCCCGCAGAGCAGGCAGGGGCAGTCTGGCAAGCCAGGGGCCTCCCTCTGCCCTGGCTCAGCTACGGATGATTACCTGCCCAAACAATGTTGTGCATTGTGTGGAGCAGGGATCCTGAACACTTGGCTGGGAATCAGTGCCCAGGCGCTGCAGCCTTAAAGGGCCAGGCAGACCCGTTATGTACCAAAGCTACAACCGCGAGCGTGGTGAGCCGCTGGCCCATGCAGCAGAATTCACGCCAATTCACTGCCCCACGGGTCCTCTCCACAGGGCTGGGAGTCCGACAGGAACCGGCCACTCAGCTCTCTGAAGGACAGGGCAAAGCACTGCCCAGAGACAGCAGATCCATAGGTTTTGCCCCTGCCCCCAGCATGGGAAAGGGGTATGTGTGGTTGGGGCACAGAAACTTTCCCAGGGGAAAGAGAGGAGACCCAGTAAGATCACTGCACTTGTCACTTGCACCATCAGCCTTGCTGTGCAGAGGCAACCATCACACAACACACACACGTCAATTCTTGGCACCCCAGAGCCTTGCCCTTTTCAGCAAGCTGCACTTTGCCAAGCAGACAAGACAGACCAGCAGATGTGAAGGCCGTATGCACCAGCTCCCCACAAACAGGTGGCCTTACAATGGCTTCAGACTGGGAAAAAGCCGGGGTCAGAAAAAAGCTCTGCCCACAGACTAAGCTCCACCCACTCAAGGAGGAAGAGGTGCCCTGCCCAGGAGACAGAGCAGGTTGCCAAACTCATTTGGCACCCTGGCCAATGGCTGACAATGGCTAAGGGTAGATACATCACCTCTGAGGGCTTCCAAATTAACAGTCCCTCAAAATGAGCAGGGAAATCACATTGACAGGTCAGCTGCACAGCCACCACCTCAGTGCCCTGGAACCCAAGCTGGGCATCGACCACAGAGGCAGTGACCTCTGAGCATTTTTCCCAGGCTCTCTGCAGACTCAGGCTAATGCTGCAGAGCATCAGCTAAACTCAGGTCACCATTTTCCTCTTAACAGGGCAACTACTAGCCCTGAAGAACTGCTCTTTTATTTGGTGAAAGCTCAGTTTCAAGGGCAAAAGATGGCAACCCCCTGAAAAACTGCCCAGCTTGCCCAGAAGCACCCCCGCTTCACATACAGAGCAGCCTTTGCAGTTAATTGGAAACAATAACTTTCTGCTGCAAGTTGCCCTCTTCTTCTATACAGCTGCTGCCATTAGCGGTGCCAGACCATATTGTGGGGAGTAAATTAAATCATCCCCAAAAAACACAGGTGCAAAGGCCCAGAGACTAAAAGAAAGACCAAGAGCTGTCCCTGTTTCAGGGGGCGGACAGAGAGAGGAGAAGACAAAGGAAGAAAACTCAGCTACCAGCAGGAAGACCACAGGAGAGGGAATCTCCTCCCTCTGGTGACCTTCTGGCGGCATCTACCCCCCTCCGACACAGAAAGTCTCATGTGACTGCCCATCTATCTTTCCTTTCGCTTTCCCCTCCCCACTTTGTTCATGCACTAAGTTTCTCAGAGCTAATCCCCGAGCCTTGTTGCCTACTGCATTCCTCAGAGACTGGGGGACACTCCGTTACGGTCCAGACATGGCAAAACTTGCCGAAGATGACCCTACTTCTTGCCCCCATTTTCCTGCTCAGTCCTTAAAATGCTGAAACTTCAGCCCCTATTGGCCCTTTTCAAGGTTTTCCTGACAGAACCTGGCTTGCACTTTATGTGGTCACTGCTCAGAGCCTGCATGCAACCCCAACTCCTCCAGCTTAAGTGACACCCACCCCACTTTGGCCCTGGAGACGCCCCTCAAGAGGCAGGGAGCTGCTTGCTACTGAGGGCTCTTCTCACCCAAGGGGAGGGAGACAGTGCAGTAAAGAAAAGGTGGCTCTCTCCACACAGGGAAACAGGCCCAGGACCAGACACCCTCCAGGAGTGCATAGTGTGAAAAGCGTGAACACCAAGAGCCTGGGCAGACCCTCCCCACACCCCGCAGAATGGATGGGGCCCTCCTCATCTCTGTCCTTGCTGTTGAACAAGACAGAAATGCTCCCTGACCTCTGCACAACATCTGGAGGCCCTTCAAACAAAAGCCTTCCTGCTTCCATTCAGGTTGAATAGGCTGGATTAGGAGTTGCCTTCCTATTCAAAGCCTATTGATGTGCAGATGCTCAAAAGGAGCCTTTAGTCCCATGGGCTATTACAGGACAGCTCCCCTCCCTCCTGATGCTGCCCAGACAGGTCAGCCCACAAGGAGGCAGGTGACTGGGGCCCAAGCCCCTCCTGGCAGGTCTCCCATGACTCAGGGCACGGCAGAGGCCTCTGGCTAGCCACAGAGGGTGACTCTAGAGACACTGGCAAACAAGGGCACACAGTGGTAACCTCTCCACAGAACAGCCTCAGTCACCCTCCTGACCCTGTAGCTGCAAATCTGGCTCTTCCTCTTCATTGTGTCTGGGCTGGACTCAGTCTGGCTCTGAATGGCATCTGCACAGTGCAGGCCTTTCAGTGGGGCACCGCTCACCACAGGGAACTAACCGACTATCCCCTGGCTCTCCTCGGGACATTACACTCAGCCCTGCCTCAGCTGCCTGCAAGGAACCCTATGGCTGCATCTAATGGAGACAATTGCAACCGTCTTCTTGCACTACCCGGAGACTGTGGCCCCAATGCACCCTCCAGCCAAGCCCTTGGAGAAAGGGGGTGCATGGAGGACTGGAAGCAGTAGTTTCTAAAAGGCTGCAACCTGATGTTGTTGACAGCCCCTCTCAACATCATGGTGCAATGGCAGCTCCCCGAGAGCCTGGCCTGGTTTGTGTCTTTTGTTTTTTACACAACACACATGGCAGGAAGAAGCCACCTGGACACAGCAGGAAGCCAATAACCACATATACAAGCAAGGCCTGGATGCATGTACACACTGCAGCCTGAGCCGCACACAGGCAGGGTGAGGGGAGCCACTCAGAAGCTCACAAATTATTTAAAATTATTTTGAACCTGAAAGACTTGCTTAAAACATTTTTTCCAACTATTTAAGTTGGTCTAATAAAAGATATCAGATTTACCCAAAGAACCTTGTCTGCCTATTTAAAACAGTGTTTCTCAACCCATGAGTCATGACCCAAAAGTGGGTTGCAAGAATACATTGAAGGGTCACAGACAAACTTTAAAAATGGATCAGCAAACTTTAAAAGTGGATTCTCCTTTAAAGGAGAGAAATGTGGGAAACCTGCAAGGGGCTGCCTGGGGCCCCCCATGCCTCACACACTGGGGACAGGGGCAGTAGGTGGGAAGTGAAGGGCCCTGGGTCAGGACTGGCCATTGATGTTTATAAATGGGTCCTGGTACAAAAAAGGTTGAGAACAGCTGATTTAAAAGACACTACCCAAATCCTACATGCTACAGCTCTGTGGGCTGCTCCTCTATCACCTCTCCCCACCACCCTGCTCCAGTCCTATGATTCTCCTTCCCATCTCTTTCATGTGTTGGGCCAAGGGGGATCCCTCTCATTAGAGGCAGCAGCTTCATTGTGTCAGGCAGCAGGTGGCCTGTTCATTGCTCACAAGTCTTGGCAGATATGAAATCCTGAAACGGTCAGTGGGCACCGAGTGGGCAGCTCCAGAACACGTGGCTGCGTGCTTCACGGTCTGGTAGATGGGCTGTTTAAAAGGAGCAAACTTTATTAGTTGCTGCCAGGGATTCACCACTTGGGAAACCCCAGACTGGCAGGTTGGGGCTGGGGGAGTGGAGAGGGGAAAGGAGAGTGGGGGTCCAAGAGGCCAAGGGGGTGAGCCCAAGGGGAAGGCTGGCTAGACTGAGAAAAGAAGCCCTCTGCTCCCAGCCCCATCCTGGCCTCTCAAGCTGGCTCACCTCTACCATGAAGGTAAAGCAGGAAGGGCAAGGAAGCCTGCTACAAACTCCCTGTCCACACATCAGCCCCATCCTGGGGGAGCAAGGGGCACAGCAAAGAAGGGCCTGCAACTTCTGGCTGGGGGGTGGGGTGTGTGCAGACTTAGAGCAGCAGAGCCCCAGCTTGCAAGGACCCCTCTACATCACACACCGGTGGCTTCTGCTACTCCATCACCTCCACATCCACCAGCACTCCCCTGCCCACTTACAGCCCCCCACCCCGAGCTCTCACACCACAGCCTCCTCTCACAACCCCAGCAGCCCAGCCTGTCATGGCTCCCCACAGGAGCTGGTCTCCTTACCTGGCTTTCCCCACCTTGTCCTCTTGCCAGAGCTGCTCCTAACCTAGCGTGCAGTCTGAGGCTGCTGCTGCTGCTCCCTCCTGGGGCTGCCTTTCCCAATCCTCCCTTTTACTCCTCCCTTTTTGATCTGACACTTCCCCCCCTCCTCCCAGCTCTGAAAGCCCAGGCTCTCTCCCCCCACCCCTGCCCCGCCTGCATTGCCCTGTGCCTGGCCCCCCTAATGGAGAAAGAGAACAAACAAAACAAGAGACTAAAACGCACTTTCTGCTCAACCAGCTCAGTGCCCGGAGCATGGAGTTGCCTGGAGAAAGTCATTATGAATCTGCACCCCCGTCCCTGCTGGCTACCGGCTCCCCCTCCCTCTATGCATCCCTACCTTGACTCAAATGTCACTGTCCTCTCTGTGGGCAAGAGGGAAGAGCCTGGGCAAAGAAATAGCACCCACTGAGATGTCCAGCTGCCCCAATCGTAGAGCTGGTGCCATGACAGGGATTTGTCTTCAGCAAATATTTGCAGAGGAACATGCTGGATCAGCTCTTGATGCCCAAGGAGAGCGGACAGACCACCTGGGACTGACCGGGTTACCTAACACAGGAGACAGACACTGTGACGCCCAGTCTGCCTAGGATGACTGCAAAGCTACTCAACAGTAGGATCAGCAACAGGGGCTGGGACACAGTGCTGCAGGCACGGGCAGTCGCCAGATCTCACACGGGGAGCATGGGCAGTGGCCAGAGTACAGGACCAGGCATCAGGCACCCTGCGTTCTACTCCCAAGATCCAGCACTGCAGCCTCGGGCCTCCATCTCTGCAGCTGCAGGATACAGCGGGTGTCACCCGCCACTGACTGGGAGCAGGAAGACTCAGTAAGAGAGGCCAAAGGAAAGGCTTGCAGGTCCCTGGTTGGTAGGGGTAATAACACCAGGGCACGGGGCAGAAGGGGAGCCCCCACAGCTCAACAGCAGACAGAAGGGCTGAGTGCAGAGTCAGGTAATGAAGAAGGAAAGGAGAACTGGTAGAAACCAAACCAGCTCTAGCACTGCCCCAGACTTGTCCAGGAAGGCAGGTTGGTCCCAGGGTCGGACACAAGCACAGGCAAACTGGGCAGCTGCCCAGGGCCTGGACAGAAAGAGGGCCCCAAAATGATGAAAATAAGGATTATTATTATCATTATCGCTGGCGAAGGGGGGCCTGATACTAAAAGTTTGCACAGGGCCACCAGGAGTCTAGGTACGGTGCTGGCTGGTCCATAAACTGCCCAGCGGGAAGGGCTGTCCTGGGAAGCTGCCTGGGGAATGTGAAGTGACTGGGGTTTTCCTTGGGATGGCAGGGGCGGAGAGGGGTCCTTCTGAAAGCCCACGCTTGGGTTGGCTTTGGAATGCGAACTATGCAGAGGCGGCCTGTACCTGCAGCTGCTCTCCCTGCTCCGGGCCCCCAGGCTTGGAGGACTGAGTGCCTCCAGGATACAGGAGGATCTAAGCACCCCTCTCCCCCCTCGCTTTGCATTTGAGAAGAGGAGCTGGGAAGATGCACAAAGCGGGGCCAGGGTGTGGTAAGAAAGGGAGTGGGCAGGTGGGGCTGAGGCTGCCTGGCAATTTTAGTGCAAAGAGCTGCCCCCTCCCCCAAGAGAGGTACAGCTGGAGCCAGCAAGCACAGACCTGTCAGTCAGGAAGACAACAGCTCCTTCAAGCCCATTGCATAGCTGCGGGGCTAGGCTGGGCTAGGCCTCCACGTATGCACAGCACAGAAACCCCTGTCCCAGGAGAGACATTCACCTCCAGCCCAGGCTGCTCCTACTTGTCCTTACAAAACCCCAACTGACATTTCAGCTGCCCCTTAAAGAGTCCAGGGAAGTATAGACCATCCCTGGCGGTCAGGATTACCCCATCCTACCTACACCTACTAGTGAAATGCTAGCCAGGAAGCAGCACAGTGCCTTTCAGGCACACAAGTCAAGGTCCCCCCCTGCCACAGTTCAGAGACAAAGCCAGGGCTGGATCAGTAAGGAGGAGAGTGTGACTAGGGCCACGAAAACAGACTGGGGAGTCTCTGCTCTTCTGCACAGGTTCTTATACTGTACTCCCCCCAGGACCAGAGCACCTCCCCATGATGGCATCAAGCAGCTCTGACTACCATCTGCTCTGCTCCCTCCTGGGGTGAGGATCAAAGAAGCACATGAAGCAGAGCAGCCTTGGTTTGTTCGGGTTTCTTTTAAGATGCACATTGCTGTGTGCTTATGTTGGAAAAGGCAGGGCCAGAGAAATGCACCTCGCATTTAGGAGGTCTGCAATGGACTTCTGTTCTTTGAGGAGTTCACTCCCTAGTCTCAGATTGGGCCCCAAGAAACTTCTGGTCTCTTGCATACATGAGCGTCCCCCTCAGTGAGGAGAGTTCATAGGAGCAGAACCAGAGCACCTGGTCTTCTTACCTCTGCTCAGGCCAGAACACACAGAGCAAGTCAGAAATCCCGGCTTTTAGCCCCAGTGTAGGGGTAAGAAGGGGAACAGGGTTAGGTGGCCAGGTCAGGGGGCTAAGAATCAGAATTAAAGGATGCTGTGGTTTCGTCACATATATAAAATGGGTCCATGTCCTGCGGGGCTATGCCACCAAATGCATGTGTGGGGCCTGGAGAACCTACCAGGAAAGGGTTTTTGGTTGTAGCCATGTTGCAAAGAACTTTTTTCCAACTACTGAGTTGGTCTAATAAAAGGTATCACATCTACCCAAAGAACCTTGCCCACCAGGAAAGGGACACTGCAGAGAGACCATGCCCTACCCACCTGCTTTAATTGAGAGATAAAATGATCCTGCCTGACCCCTACCCCATTCTCCCCCCCCCCTCCCCCGCTGACTCTCCCCACAGTAACTATACGCTTGTAAAGCTGGGATGCCTGCCCCACATACCAGCATTCATCCCTTAATTCAGTAACTTGCAGGAGCTGGCTACTACGCTGCAGCCCCACCCCATCCCAGCAGCCCAGGCAGGCTAACTACTTGTCCCTCTGTTCTTTACCAAGTCCTCTGGGCCCTGGCTAGTGACAAGCCAGCTACCAGTGGCGAGCATGGCTGTGGCAGTAACTACACAGTGGAAAAACTCTGCCTTTGCCTACAGAAGTTTATATAAACTGCAAGACAAACATAAAGCCGGAACTATGCTTCTGAGGACTAGGCATAATTAAAGGAACAAACCAGGAAGATAAGAAAGGACGGACAGACTCCAGCAGAAAAACTGGAGCAGAGGTGAGGTTACTCGCCCAACCCACCCTGGTTGCTGGAAGGCTGGAACATTGCTTTTTGAGAGAGAGACAGAGAGATACCACTACCTCTGCTCTCCTTCACCACACACTTTGCTCAGCCCCCAGTAAGCCAGATGCCCAAGGACAGTCCTGGCACTGTAAAGCCATCGTTCATGACCCAGTCCTTTCACAGAAAAACAAGAGCTGGCCTGTGACTTAACCACCTAGAAGAAACTCTGCTCTGGGGCAGGTGGAGCCCCTGTGATGAGATGGCAGGGCAGAGACCTGATGAAATTATGACATTTGTATCTAACTGCCTGAAATAACGCATGGGAGATACTATTGCTCTTGCTTGCTGGGTGTAAGCCCTGCAAGTGGCCATGCCCTCCTCCCTATGGGAACAGCAGCTGGTGCCCAGCGGCTGGGGCTGAGTAGGCAGTGCTCCTGGAAAGGTGAATGTCAGGCTGCGGCCACTGTTGGAGCAACACTAGACAGACCCACACAGGCAGGGGCCAACCCGCACCCAGGTATGTGCAGATGGGGCTGCACAGAAGAGTATGAAGGCTGGCGCAGACAGAGACATGCATGTCAGTATCTGCACAATGCTCCCTCTATCCTTCACATGTCTCCCCTACCCTGCAGTGACAGACCTCACTCCCTTGCCAGGGAAGGCTCCCTCCCTTTCTCCTCCTCCAAGTCTCCTTGCTCGCTCCAGACAAATGCTGCCAGTGGTAAGACGAGAGGTTTCCCAATAATGCCAGTTTCCATTACCCAGCCCCATTAGAGGATGCAGAGGGATAAGTGCTACTCACAATGAGCTATTGTTCCTGCCGTCCCAGGGCACAGGATCCTGTTCCTTCTGCGTACTACCCACTTTACACCAGGTAGCTCCTGACCCAGCCAGGTTTGGGGGGGGTCGGGAAAACTGCTTTAGTCCATTTGCTTTTCTTTAAAATCACTGCCTGCCTGCCTGAAGCTTGTCCAATACTGGCCACTCCAGGGACAAGCTTCCTCTCCTTCCCCTGCCTGAGGGCTCACCTTTCTGCAGAAGCCAAGCTCTCACATAGTCATTGCAAGCAACTAACTACCTCTCATTAGGGTAGGATCCATTACATGACATCAGCCTGGATGACCTTTGCTCTTTCCTGCTCAGATGAGGGTTAGGTGAATGGTTAATGTTTACGGAAGGCCACTACAGGGCAAAAAAGTCTCACCAGGGCCATTCTTTTCCAACGATGGACATACTTGCTCTCCCCTGCAAAACAGGGCCTCAGGTACAAGTAACCAGACTCCACGGTGATTCAAAATTGCTCTGTTATAAGCAGTTCACTCAAGAAGGCACCTGCATCAGACCAGGCTGCTCTACCTCCTGGCTTGGTAATTCCCAGAGGAGCAGGAGGGAGCTCGGGCCAGAACTTCCAGCAAGACCATGCCTGCAGGATGGTAATAACCCAGGGACCAGCAAAGGAGGCTCCGGCCCCAAGCTCTCCCCTGCTTTAGCCAGTAAAACAGAGAGACCCTGGTGTTGTTTTTAACCTGCAGTGTCAGGCCTGCTCTCCTCTGGTTTTAGGGGAAGACCATCAGTGAGGGTGTGGTCTGAGAGCTTTTGGACAGAGTGCCAAAAAACCCCTACAACCTTGACTTGTAAGATGTTGACGTACCCAGGGCCAGATTAACCCTTTAGTGGACCCTGGGCTGGTTGGGACCCCCCTCCTCACCTGGGCACTACTGCCTGCAGGAAGCAGGGCTCAGAGCTGCTGCTAGGAAACAGCCGCCAAGGCAGCGAGGCTGGCAGAGGGGAATGGGAGGGAAGGGAAAGCAATGGGGCCATTTGTGCCACCACCGGGGAAGGAAGGACTGGGGCCCTCCC